GCTTTATAATGTACAACTTTATTTTACCCTGTAAAATATAATGTGGCTTTCTTCAATCATTTTCTTTACAGTCCATAGTTTCAAATTAAATGTAATATTGATTTATGAGATCCCACACATCTAAGTAAGTTAATATAATTTAAACAATATTTTAATAATTTGAACAATATATTAGGTCATTAAGTATGAAATTCATAAATTTTATAGCAACATTCTACAGTAAAGTATGCATTTCATACTTAATGACCTAATAAATACTAATCCACAAAATTAAAAGAATACTTTCGTCTAGGTCTTTTATCGTTTTTTATTCTACTTTATGAAGCAATACATTTTATTTTGATACTTGATGCACTACTATCTTTTAGTATGTTCTCTAATGACTTCATTTTAAAATAAATCATAAAGATCACGATGATTGAAGTAGTAATTTAAGGAATGATAGGAAATATTTTTTTGATAACCAAAACAGAAGGTAATGACGCGAAATTTTCGACAGAATTTTATACAGCGAACGTCTAAAACTAGTTACAACATGAAACCATTTGTAGTGAAAGCTAGAAGCTAAAAAATATTGCACAGAGCTGCTGTTAGCATTCATCAAAAATTGGCAGTTTGCTTTTAGCGCAGATGGCGCGTGTAGATCAGAAATTATAAAATACTGTGCATCGAATCTTGCACTAGGTTGATCCAAGATATCAAGCCATCAATAATTTTTCCAAATCACTGATCTTTACAAAGGCTTAACACTTTGACGGCCGCGCCAAGAAACCTAAAAAATTTCATAAAATTAAAATATTCTATCAAATTAAATTAAACTTGCGAAGCAAAGTTATATGACATTAATTATATTTTCAACATACTCGCATCTTGCGAATCTTAATAAAATTAAGAAATTATAATAACGGATTAGCGTAAAGATTAAATTTTAAATAATCCTGTCAGGGGTGACAGGGGTCACATATAGGTGACGCGGCTCAGCTAGTGCTAATAGTGTAATTATGGTATACTTTTTTAATAGTACAATTATATACTTCATTAATTATAATAGGATAAATATTTAGTTAATAATATAATTACGACACATTTTTTAAAAAGACTACGCTGAATCGATTTTTGTAATTCAAACTTCCGCGAAGTCGTGACACCGGCTGCCGAAGCGTTAAGCAACGAAAATTGAGCAATTAACACCCATTATAAGCAAACCACAAGAATACATTTCTCTCGGTTTACGTCACTGTTCCGGCTCTCGCGGTTTCTATCGCAGCTCGAATGTAAGCTTACGCAAAAACGACAGGTACCTTTGGGAGAACCTAATGTTCTTCCGATCGTTCCCGACAGGGCGCAGACGATTAATTATCGCTAGCGATAATTAATTCCGATCCGCAGACCCATGTATCCTAGTCTCAATCAGAGCGCGACATATTCGGCAACCGGATCGGACTTGTTTCAATAAAGCCCCACTCTGAAGGGCCCGCGAACCCGTGTGTTTTTAGTGGACGTAGTGAAGTCGATCGGTTACAACGTACACCACAGCAACCGGGACCTCCACGACCAGCGGAAGGACCAGGGGTCCCCGTCGAACAGCTGCGACCTGGAGGTCAACGGCGAAGAGGATCGAACCGGTCGCTACGACACCAGAGGGAAGCCCAAGTACCCGACGTGCCGGCTCGTGCTGCACGGACGTGCTTACGACACCGGGCACGTTTCGTTGACCAGTTACAATCTCAGGTAATGCCTACCACCTTCTACCTTACGACCTTGCCACGCACGCTCCACACTTAGGTCCCGTTTCTTTTCGCCCCTTCGTCGCGCGCATGACACGTCGGCTTTCATCCGCGGCCAGCATGATTCAACCCGCGACCATTTATCGAGGGTAACTGTGCATTTTCGCAGGACCATTTTCGCAACTGTACTATTGACGATGTTTATAGCGATTCTAAGCTTTAGTCAGCAATTTTTCGAAACATATTTTTGAAGATATTTCTTGCGGACTCGTTAGCATTTTTATTGTTCCTAATGTAACAGCATTGTTCAAAATTGACCCAATCACCGCCTTATCAGGGTTAAGGTGCCTCTTATTTCCGTCTTTTTATTTTGTACCCCTCTAAATTGTAACAATCCGTGCCGTATTTGCGTCACAGTTTAAAGATGCTAATGATTCCGTGTCATCTTCGAACATAATTGTGTTTCGTTATTTTAGAAATATTGTTAGATGTTCTTGACTGAAAGCCGTGGATGAATAATTATGAGCTTTATGTGTTAGTACTAAAATTATGCTCGTGTTGAGAAATATATTAATACCTTTTCAAACGGAATAACTTTTTTAAAATTGGTCGAAATTGCTTGAATTCTCTGGAGATGTTAGATCGGCTAGTTTCCTAGAAAATGAGTATACAAACATTTTTTTAGATTCCAATTGATTAGAATATCAGATTGAGAATATCATGACAATATCATATTTAGTATTATTCTTACTATTGTTATTATTATTACTGTTGCTATTACTGTCACTATTACTCGTATTATTACTGATAAATCTAGTAACACTTGATTGGACAATTTGTGTATGGATCAGATGCTTTGCTACGTATTGGCTCAAATGAAAAAGTAGAAGAAAGTAATTGTTTTATTTTATTTCGTTTCTCCAACCAGTTACAATTTCTCAAACGATATTTTACGCTTTGTCAACTAAACTAGTCTTTATGATGTTACAAAATATTTTCAAGTCGTCTGTTCTAATTTGAAAAAAGTTATTATATTTTTAAAAGTGTCCGAATTCATATCTGTCTCACGCACGACCGTCTGTTTAGAGACACGCGTCCGCATAGGATTGGTGTTAAGGAAATTGTTTCGTTCCCGGGAACTTAAACTTTCCACGCTCACAGTGTCCCTAGAGCGAGCGTTCGTTTATCCGCGGCCACAAGGGGAAACCGGCTGAAATTTCCATCAACAAAGTACTCCGTGTTTGCCGTGGAGTACGATCCACCGATTTCCCTTTCCGTTTCACCAATATCTCCTACGTGGCCGTCGCCGGAAAGGCGAGAAACAGCGATCGCTTAACATGCTTGTGAGGGAGCCCGAGGTACAGTTTTAAGGCGATTGCAGTGAACCGTAAGGGTGGAGTTAAAAGCCACCGGAAATGCAGTCACGTAGCGGCCCGTGTGCCATTGGTCCGTGGCTGGAATTGCATTTCAATTGTTTACCTTTTTCGTGGAGTTGCTTTTGAGGGTCCTCGATACTCTGGTTTCCGTGGACTCTTCCGTCCAGCTCGACTCCAGCCGATGTTGCCGGATTCCGCTAAATCAAATTCGAACTTCCGGCCGGCCCGAGTCGCTCTTAGCCCGGACCCCGTCCGATTTAATTACTCGACCGACAACCAGAGGAAAAACTCGTCCGGTCCAGTGCCAGCTATCGATGAAGTTAATAATCTGCACCGTGTCGGGACTGTAATATCCGCAGACGAAGGAACGGACGCGGAATGCAATTTACATACACTAAGGGATGCCATGTAAATGAGATGTCTCGTCTATTTGAATATCCTTCAGAGTTTAGGGAGCTTCTCCTTCTCCTTCTTCTTCTTCTTCTTCTTCTTCTTCTTCTTCGTCCGTAAGTTCCAACGAAACGAACGTGCCGAATCGCGTGGCGAGGAATGTTCGGTTCAGCAATGAGAAATATGCTTTTACTTAATGAGTAACTGGAATGTTACAAACTTCCGGGCGAAATACTTAAACCGGCTCGTTCTCGTCCCTAGCATCTATTATAGAAAATGGAACTCCCGGCGCAAGGCAGAAAAGTTGGAGCGAACAATTAGCCTCCTAAAGCGTCTGTTATTCTATCGCATGAACAGTTTTACAAGGGTCCTTTCACCCGTCCATTCGATTCATCGAAGTAACTGCTATATCGATCTTCGGAACAGTATGACGATGCCCGATCAAAATTACTTAATGTGGAACTCACTGCACCCGACAAACCGAAATTACCGCCACTTAAGCCGCAAAGTTTCTCTAACTCGTATTCAAATTAACCACTCAAGCCTTGTGTCTACCAACTCCGGTTTGCCAAGGATAATTATCTCGAACGCCAGTTTTGTGGTGCAACGCTAATCATCGGACACATTCTGTTAGAATCATCTCTGCTGTTTGTAGAATGCAGTCAATTAGTTTGGAAATGGAAATTTTCGTATTGGAAACTGCTTGCACTTTGTACGAATCTTATTTGCTCGTTGTCTTTTCATTTTTTCTAGATTAGACAAGTGTCGTTTTACTGCAAAAACTCTAATTGACAAATGTCCCTATAGAGACATTTCGCAACTTGTTCAGAAGCATTTGAAAAAGTTGACCCACATCCCGAAACCTTACGAACTATGAAAAATACAAACTCGCGACAGCAATGAATTTTATAAAGAACTTACAAATATTCGCAAACGGGATGAAGAAGATACGGAGGAAAGTTAGAAGCTGACGCATACAAGTTCGAGAACGGCAAAAGTTTCGAATTTAAAGTAGTGCCACATATTTTTCGGAAACTTCCTGCGTTTCTCCGGCAACTTCCGGATAGATGCTTACTTCTTTAAAACGTAAACTGCTTAAACCGTCGCGGTATCTAAGTATTCAGCAGGTAGTCGGGGATGAAAGGAATGTCTCTGGAGACGTTAAAACCGATTTAGAGGGATCGAGGCTCAGAGGATCTAACTCGGACCTAACCCAAACTCTTAACGTACGGCCGCAGTTGCGTTATCGTATTCCTGTGACATCCTGCTGGTCGAAACTTGTTTTGACACGTTCGCTAGCCGAGCCTTTGCCGTAAACTGCAACCACGCGTCGCTGAGAAGCAGCAAAATTGTTAGTTTAAATATCCGCTTGTAATCAAACACTGTTGATTTCAAGTGTGAATCGAAATGGGATAAAATAATTTGGAGAAGCATTCTAGGGCTAAAATAATGGTCTGATCAGACTAAAAGTACTGATGAAGTACTTGAAGAAGAAAAGTACTGATCAGACTAAAAAATACTGATCGGTCTACGGATCTTTATACAAAATAAGAATTGTCTGCATCTGTTGCAAAAACAAGTGTAACATAAAAGTTTCATTCCTTCTTTAATCACTTTAATAGATCGGTTGGCAGATCGACATTATCAAGTGCTTTTTAGTTTTCTACCGTAGAAAATTACAGATGGCCATTTTTCTTATAAATGCATAAAATCCGCGGTTATCATAAATTTGCGCATCGAATGTTATTAGACTGCAGATCTTTGTGCAAAAGTTTTCTATCTCGATTGCAAGAAACTAGAGTGTCGAATAAAGATTTATTCGTTACAGTATTTTAAAATTCTTCTACTGTTTTTATTATTTCACGCGTTCGACCTACTCAGTTTTTAATAAACACATCAAAACCGTAGTCTACACGCAATGCACTCGATGTAGACTCGATCACGGTGTATCTGTTTAAACTTCAGCGAGGCGAATGTTATTTGCATTGCCCGAACGCTTTCCCCATCATTAGGAAGTTAATGTCTAGCGATGCAAATTACAGATTATCCATATTCGGCTAATGCAATTCGAGGGGAATTCCATTATGAAACTCGTGAATTGGTCGATCCCACGAATCGGATGTCATTAATATTAGTTTCGGCAACTCAAGGATCGGTTGTGCCGAGTCCCATGAGTGGGCCGTCAAGACGGCTCCCTCAGACAGAGAATTCACTGTGTTGGATTCCTCGGTTCTCGGGGCATTTATATCAAATTCCCTAGATCCAGATCACTTGCGTCTATCTCGAAAACTTATTCACATCATGTGTCTGGTCGCAAGAAATTTAGGACAGTTGTTAGAACGGTGCCTCCCTTGTCCAGAGTCCTACGCTCTATGGAACGCTATCTCATTTGATACTTTGCACCATAAATGAACGTCTCGTTGCGTTACGGAACCCGTTTGATGTCAGGAGCATTTATATACCTTCTGACGTAATTAATTTCAATATCCTACATTCTCCGTGTTCTACTTCTTCCTTTTTGACTAAAACAGACATGAAAGAAATACAAATGTTGAAGCTGTAGACAAAACAGAAGATGTCATTACGATTTATTGTTTTAAAGTCGTGTATTAACCTCTAGAAGTTTGGTTTCTTTTCGGGCATGATTAACCAAGCGATCGAATCTAACTAATCGAGTAAGACATATTAAATTTTTTTAATCAAATACGAACGAAATAATAGAATAAGGTTTTGCAGCCGTATTCATAAAACCTGTATTCTTTAAGAAAATCTAAAAATCTTGATTTTCCCAGAGATTCGCGCTAAAATACACCCGCAAGAAATTTTTACTGCTCGGGGGATCTGCTCTCGATTTATCTAATTATTTGTCAAACTATTTATTATTGAACAAAATGCTTCGAGCAGAACTTTGCCTACAAAATAAGCCCGACAAGGGAACACGCCAATTTCAATGAAATTTTAGTACGACGTTCAGTATAAAGCTTTTATGAATATGGTAGTACGTTGCAAAATATTTAACGCTCAAATATTTGGCATTAAGAAATAATCAAAATAAAAGTATGAACAAATTTAATATATTTTATTCAATGACAAACGACAGACACAACTGGTCACCCCGCGGAAACCGGCTCCCCGTAGATCAGAGATTCAACAAGATGAAGAATTACGTTCAATCCCTTAAGACGCGTGTTCCAATTTCCACCGTCTGGCGCGGCGTGGAACGGCACGCACCGCCGCGCCCCGGAAAGAATCTTGTTTTCCATTGGTAGGTATCAATCAACATAACTCATCGGAATGCGGGAGCAGGATCCTCCTAGCTCCTCCGTCCTCTCGGAAGTAATAGATACGAAGTAGCACTAAATCACACGGGAATGTGGCTGGCTCGTATTCCCGGGATTTTCAATTATCATGCACAATGGCTGAAACGCGCGGACCATGCATTCGTGGCTTTGCAGATATGTTCTCTCGTAAGAGATGGAACACACGGTGAGTGGGTTAGGTCGGTAGCTTCTTCGTCCTATGCGAGCCGGAGCCGAGCCGTAGCCAAGGAGAGAACGTAACCCCGTGGGTCCGCCGCGCGGCAGATATATAACCCGGAATAAACTAGGAGAAGACACGCACACCGCCTCTTACATCGTGGCTGCGAGAAGGAGACAACCGGAGGCGTAAGACGGAGCGCTGGGTTTATTGAAGGCGGCATCAATTTTGAATGAAATATTGCAAATTCAAGCGTCGCTGAACCGGAAGATCGTCCTGGATCCAGGGACTGTCGGGTTTTGCCCCTTGCGGCTAAGTGCTCATTCCGGATCCATTTGTTTTCTTCGTGGCTTTTGTACCGCGGGAACCGGAAACAACATTTTGACTACAAACTTCGAATCTTTCGACCTTGGTTATGCAAGTTCCTATTTATTAAGCTGTTAGGATAGTGGAACCGGTTACTGTGGGCTAGCCAATTACTGTATCTTTTATTTACAGGTATAATTAACTTTATATTTATCAAAAATAAATAGAAAAACTAATATATGATATATAATATATGATATATAATATATGATATATAATATATAATATATGATATATAATATATATCATATATTAGTTTTTCTATTTATTTTTATTAACACGTTCCGTGCCGAGCTTTTTTTACTCGAATCTTCACACTTTGATATTTTACTAAAACTTGATGTATTACGTGCAATTATTAATTCTCGTACACATAACAACGTAACAAAAACTTATCAACGCCCATTCTTGCGGTGGAAATTGATTCTTCGGTTCTAAATTTCTTGTAAACAATTTGTTCAGTTCACTAAGTAAACATGCAAGCGTGTACCATCGATGGTACACGTGGCACGGAACGTGTTAAAATTTAATTAATTATTTATTTGTTAACTCCTGGAGGTGTGCTAACAGGGCACAGTAATTGGCTTCTCTTCTATACGAGACGACCCACCAATTGTGACGGTAGAAAACAATGTTTTCGTGCTGGGATCATTTCATTCAGGATTCTTGAGGCCACTGATGCGTTTCTCGATTACACGATGCGATTTTTATCGCATCACCGATTCTTCAGTTTCGCTATCGTGACAAATGTGTAAATGTTATTCGGTGCACTCGAAAAACGTAGATTTTAAATAAATGAAATACGTTCATGTAATATATTCTACAGTAGACTTTAAACATGTAGAAGCGCCTTTATTGATTCTTGCAAATGGTTTTGTTTTTATCATGCATGTTGGTATTTTAATACTTTTTAACAATAGGGCATGTGTATTTGTAGAAAATAATATTGTTATGATTGGAGCTATAAAATAAAACCAAATCAACATGGTAGAATTTATAGTAGAATTTTTCGCTCATATTCTTGAAAATATTTGAGAAAATATGAAGCATTAAAGATTGATCACTAGACAGCAATAAAAGTATTAACAAAATTTGAAGACATGTATATATTATTCCGAATTCACTGAAATTTAATAAAGAAAGAAATTTCTATTTGACTCATGTTTGGCAATTGATGAAGATAATTTTTATTTTGCATAAAGATCCGCAGTCTGCCGATTACTAGACTAAAAAATACAATTTCTTGATAATCGCGAACTTTGAATAATTCGATAGCGGGATAATGGCGTAGGCGAATGTTCCGCGAGTCGCGGAAAATTCTATTGTAAAGTGCAGATTAACAAAAGCAGATAATATTTCTTCAGACCTTGTAATGTAAATTGCCGCTTGGAATGTAAAATATAGTGGCGAGGTAAAAATTTGAAAGTATAATATGCATTTTGTTCGTCGATAATCTGTTACCTTTTAACTTTGACGTTCAATTATTTATTCGACTAAAACTACGTGTCCGGCAAACCAATTTTTAACACCGTTCCCTCTCGCCCATCCAGCTTGCATTATTTATCTCGATCGATATACCGCTAACACCAGCTCCGTTTTTTGCTTTGCACCCAATATTTGCGGATGAACTTTTACAAGAGTCCCTGCTAAATAATTCACTTCCTTTCGCAAAATTGGGGCTTGTCTTCTAGTACGTTAGCAACGTGTCACAGTTTTACAATATTTGTTACTATACTGGTAAATTGCATAATTGTCGAAGCATTTGTCTTGAATTTTAGAAAGATTTGTCATTTCAGAAAGCGACCAATTTTTTTATTTTTTTTTATTTTGCGCAGATATGTAACTAAATCACAATTACGTTATAATAAACATTATTAAACAACATATCGTGAGCATTAAAAGCAGTTATTAAAAATCCAATCGAGCCGTTTAAAATGAGTATCGACCTGCCGCTAAGGCAACATTAACTGGCCCCGCAATGGGATACATTAATACATTTTGCATTCACTTTTATAATTCATATTGCAATAAAATATAATAAGGAAGGATCAAAGTATATTTTAGTATTTTTTATTAAATAATAGCTCAAATGAAAATTATAGTTTAAAATTGACACTTCGTTAATCACTGTTTCCACTGTTTTCTCCAATATCTGTTCATTTTAATTGTACTTAAATTGACAAAGAACGAATACTTTGATTGCCGCGTCTTCCAGAAATGGAAAAGCAAAATAATTCGTTCGGGTTTGAAGAGTTGCTGAAATGGTACTCGATATTAGGACTTGTCAATTTCTACTTCATTAAATAAATCGCTTCGCTTTCGTGGAACTTCGAAAGTGGTCGGGTCGGTGTATGATATTATAACGTATGACTATTCCGAGTGCTTCATTGATCTTCCAGGTCGCAGTCGTGCCAATCGTCGATTGAAATATACGACGGCCACCACGAAGAAGGGATACTTGGCACCGCGAAATCTCTCGAGAGAATCTGCAGTCCTGCGCAGAGGCTTCCTGGGGAATTCGTGCAACAAGATACGTAAGTGGATTCTCCAGTTATTAGACGAGAGATGCCGGCGCGGTCTACTATCCACGGCTTATTACTCGGATACTGAAGCAAGAAGTCCTCGAGATTCCGCTCGATTTATGAAGCGCAATGCAAACCGCCTCTGTTATCCGCGATCTGCCGGCATAGCTCGCCGAACTTCCGAAATTAATGCTGGGTAACCCGTCTGCCGCCGATCGGCGCCAGATCCGTCGAACATTCTCAAAGAAACATGCTGCCGGGGATCGGCAACTTGGGAAATCTGTTTTGTGTCTCGCGTCGGAGCGCCAAGGGCCTCGTGCGAAAGCCTAATTTGTTGCGCCTCTTGTTAGAGAGGACCGCGTGTGTGTACAAGACCAAACGCCGTGGGGACCATAGTCTCTTCGAAATCGCCAAGTCCCAAGCACTCGGACGACTCGGTCTCCCGTTGTTCCGAGTACGACGCCAAGATGTCGGCCGAATGACCTTGAGAGGCTAATCAACCCTCCGGTTGACACAGACGTCTCGAGGACGATAAAACTTGCAGTCGTTTAACCACGGTTCGTCGAGTATTGCTTTCATTTCGACGAACGAGGCAATGTTGCCATTGTACGATCACTTATCCTTTAATAATGCTTAATAACAATTAGTAAATGCAGGTAAATTTACTTTGAAACATTGCAACTTCATGAGTTTACAGAGGATCGCATGAATTTTTAAATAATTATATTAACTTATATCAATGAGTTGTTTAAAGTTGCGTTGCACCGTTTAAGGGTTAGAGCATTTTTTCTCCTGGGGGGGGGGGGTGCTCTAGAATTACCTAATTCTTTGTCAAACTATTTATTAATCAACAAAATGTTTCAATGAAATTTTAGTTGAGTACGAACATTTTGGTATAAATATAGTTCGTTGGAAACAGCCCTCAAAATCGAGAGTGAAAACCGTATTTTTTTAGACACCTCGAGAACTAGAGGATGCGGAACAATGAATTTAACAATAAAGTTTCTCGCATCAGACAATTTCAGAAAAAGTTGTTTCTTTAAACAATATTTCAAAGAGAAAACATTTTGTGCACGCTAAATTTCGAAGCAGAATATTATAGAACATAAATTACAAAGTGTCCGCGGTAGTAAAATTAGTTCGTGTTTGTGCACATTTGTTTAAATTCAACTCGTAGCATTAGTAATTTATTTCAGTTAAACAAACGTTAATATCTTTACTTGCGCGGTTGGAAACCCCAGGCTATTTGATGTGACGGTTTCCACAGCGAATAGTGAAAACGTGCTAATTTTCGTGAATAAAAGCAAACCGTGCAGCTTTTCGCGACAGATTACTGAAACGTACTGGTTTGCATAGTAAAAAACTGCAACGTACTAATAATCTGCGTCGCTATATGAATGAAAATATACTACTTTTCCCGACCATAATTGAAGCATGCTCCTCTATCTGCACGAAAAGTATAAAGTGCTAGTCTTCGTGAAACAAGCAAACGTCTCTGGTTTTCTTCACGAACTGAACAAACGATTCCAAAGCAAAATTGAACTTATTAACTATTGATCCGTACCCAACTCGTGAATACATTTTCGATGATATCAACAACTTTAAAATTTTCGTTGCAAATGTCAATGATTTAGTCGTACATTAGAAAATGACTAGAATAAATAGCAAAATGTAATCACATTAGGAAGATAATAATAATAATAATGCAATTTTCTCTTCGGTTTATTAAAATCATTAAAAGAAGAAATACATTTTTATTTCATTTCCGTGTTTTACAATCGAGTTAAAAAGTTTTTATTTCGCGCGAAGATCCGCGATCTAGTGACTACACATCAATCAAAATGGCTACGTATCAAATATCTGAACATGACCAATAACGTATCGGTTGCAAAAATCAGAATATGAATCACTAGACAACGGACCTGTATGCAAAACAAAAATGTCTGGCCACAACTGCAAAAAAACAGATCAGGCAAAAAATTGATTCATTTTTATTTCGCCATAAAATCTGTTGTCTGCTGAACCGTATATTTATTAAACGTCTGCACGAACATTTCGGAAACGAAGATCAAGCGACAGCATCATGCAGAAGAACAAATTCGAAATGACGACTTTGACAACATATCTCAAGATCATCGAAATCGATGCCGAAAGTCCTGTATCAGGTAATTACGAAATGTTATTTTCTCCGAGCCATAAAAGAAACCCAAGTTTCAAACCGGATAATAAAAAAGACAATAGACAGATTATGGTCTTTTCACGATTCGACAAGAAGCCACAACCCCGCTTCCCCGTTTTATCGATTGACCACTGACGCGACGATTCACCGGGGATAAGCAGACGCTTATAAACAGGCGGGGAGAGAACCTGATTGTAGGGAGGGAACACGGCACTAAGAAAACAACGCGACGCTATAAATTCAGTTCACCGTTTTCGACAAACTCCATTGAGCTCATTCACCGAGGCTCCGTGGAACCGCGTCGGGCGAAACGAGACTTCCGTTCCCGGCCATTTCCTCTGCTCCGGTTCGATCTAATAAAACGTGTTGCGCCGAGAAAAAGGCGGACGAGGGGGGCGGAGCTGCCGGCAAAAACCGACCGGTCTTCCTCGGACTGGAAAACGCGGGATTTTATCTCGTGGGAGCGGAACGGGGGTCGAGGGTCAGGGGGTATAGACGGCGCGTAATCAGGAAACAGTCTCGATCTATTCGTCGTCGTTGCATCTACTCGAGGACGAGACGACTCGGAATACGTCGGTCTCGTTTCTTTTCGAATCCAGCATGCAAGACCGCTGCACGCTACATCGACATACAGGGTGAGTCACGATTGTCGGCATTTTCACTACCGTTTTTCATCGGGATCGAACACATTGTCCTATAAAAAAATTAGACGTTGGAAAAATGATTTTTAACCCTCTATGATCTGATATTTTTATACGGGTGTACAATGTTGATATAATTGAACAGTTGGAAGCAGAAACTGTGTAAGTGAAAAAAATTAATTCAGTAATATTGAGAATGAAGAATGAATTAAAAGTTCTATATGCTGTTCGAGTAAATGGTTCTTACCCGCTCTGCTATTCACGGAGAAAACANGTTGGAAAAATGATTTTTAACCCTCTATGATCTGATATTTTTATACGGGTGTACAATGTTGATATAATTGAACAGTTGGAAGCAGAAACTGTGTAAGTGAAAAAAATTAATTCAGTAATATTGAGAATGAAGAATGAATTAAAAGTTCTATATGCTGTTCGAGTAAATGGTTCTTACCCGCTCTGCTATTCACGGAGAAAACANCGTCGCTATATGAATGAAAATATACTACTTTTCCCGACCATAATTGAAGCATGCTCCTCTATCTGCACGAAAAGTATAAAGTGCTAGTCTTCGTGAAACAAGCAAACGTCTCTGGTTTTCTTCACGAACTGAACAAACGATTCCAAAGCAAAATTGAACTTATTAACTATTGATCCGTACCCAACTCGTGAATACATTTTCGATGATATCAACAACTTTAAAATTTTCGTTGCAAATGTCAATGATTTAGTCGTACATTAGAAAATGACTAGAATAAATAGCAAAATGTAATCACATTAGGAAGATAATAATAATAATAATGCAATTTTCTCTTCGGTTTATTAAAATCATTAAAAGAAGAAATACATTTTTATTTCATTTCCGTGTTTTACAATCGAGTTAAAAAGTTTTTATTTCGCGCGAAGATCCGCGATCTAGTGACTACACATCAATCAAAATGGCTACGTATCAAATATCTGAACATGACCAATAACGTATCGGTTGCAAAAATCAGAATATGAATCACTAGACAACGGACCTGTATGCAAAACAAAAATGTCTGGCCACAACTGCAAAAAAACAGATCAGGCAAAAAATTGATTCATTTTTATTTCGCCATAAAATCTGTTGTCTGCTGAACCGTATATTTATTAAACGTCTGCACGAACATTTCGGAAACGAAGATCAAGCGACAGCATCATGCAGAAGAACAAATTCGAAATGACGACTTTGACAACATATCTCAAGATCATCGAAATCGATGCCGAAAGTCCTGTATCAGGTAATTACGAAATGTTATTTTCTCCGAGCCATAAAAGAAACCCAAGTTTCAAACCGGATAATAAAAAAGACAATAGACAGATTATGGTCTTTTCACGATTCGACAAGAAGCCACAACCCCGCTTCCCCGTTTTATCGATTGACCACTGACGCGACGATTCACCGGGGATAAGCAGACGCTTATAAACAGGCGGGGAGAGAACCTGATTGTAGGGAGGGAACACGGCACTAAGAAAACAACGCGACGCTATAAATTCAGTTCACCGTTTTCGACAAACTCCATTGAGCTCATTCACCGAGGCTCCGTGGAACCGCGTCGGGCGAAACGAGACTTCCGTTCCCGGCCATTTCCTCTGCTCCGGTTCGATCTAATAAAACGTGTTGCGCCGAGAAAAAGGCGGACGAGGGGGGCGGAGCTGCCGGCAAAAACCGACCGGTCTTCCTCGGACTGGAAAACGCGGGATTTTATCTCGTGGGAGCGGAACGGGGGTCGAGGGTCAGGGGGTATAGACGGCGCGTAATCAGGAAACAGTCTCGATCTATTCGTCGTCGTTGCATCTACTCGAGGACGAGACGACTCGGAATACGTCGGTCTCGTTTCTTTTCGAATCCAGCATGCAAGACCGCTGCACGCTACATCGACATACAGGGTGAGTCACGATTGTCGGCATTTTCACTACCGTTTTTCATCGGGATCGAACACATTGTCCTATAAAAAAATTAGACGTTGGAAAAATGATTTTTAACCCTCTATGATCTGATATTTTTATACGGGTGTACAATGTTGATATAATTGAACAGTTGGAAGCAGAAACTGTGTAAGTGAAAAAAATTAATTCAGTAATATTGAGAATGAAGAATGAATTAAAAGTTCTATATGCTGTTCGAGTAAATGGTTCTTACCCGCTCTGCTATTCACGGAGAAAACA